GCCCCACAACCACTTCCTCTTCTCTTGGCTTCCATCGGCCCTTTTAAGGTAACAACTTAGGGCCCATCTCCCCTTCCTGTCTCACCCCCCAAGAGCACAGGAGTGTGCTGGGGGTGGGGGTCAGCAGAGCGAAAGGGGGGTGCGAGCAGGAGCAGAGGGGAGGCAGGTCTGGGGGAGGGGAGAGGGCCTCTTACATTCTCCCTGCCCGCAGCCGGGGGCTGGGAGGGTCTCCCTGGGGCTCAGATGGGGGGGGGCTGCCCAGGCCCAGAGCCCCTCCCACCCTGAGAGCACCGCTGGGTCTGCCCGGACCCCATGGAGCCCTCTCTGTGCTCCGGAGGGGAGGAGGCCCCGGGTCTGCAGGACTCGCTGTGTGACCTTTCTGGTGTCACCTGAGCTTCAGTTTCCACGAGACCACTGCACGTAGGAGCTGGAGGAGGCGGAAGGCTCATGTGGCCCAGCTCAGTTTTACAGCTGACAGCGCTGCAGCCCAAGAAGGCTTGGTGACAGTCACCTAATCAGGACCCCCGCGGGGCCACTGGAGGACCAGAAGCCCCCTCAAGTGGAAGACCGCTGCCCCAAGGGCTCTAGGGGCTCACCTTGCCCAGGGGAAGCACCAGGAAGGCCCCTCCCCCACTGGCCTCGCAGATCAGGGCCACGAACTTGGGGTTGACAGCACAGAAGCCACTGTCCCAGGTGGTCTGTGAGACGCGCACGTCCTCATAGCACTGGTCGGCCTTGGCTGGCTGTCCAAACACGTGGCGGAACTTGCTGGAGCGGACCACCTGCCGGCTCATCCTGGGGGGACACGTGGATTTGAGGGCTTTTCTCCCTTTGGTCGACTCTGACCGTAGAGTGTCCCCCGTGTCCCCCAGGACACCCCCTCAGCTGGTGTTAAAGGTCTCAGCTAACTTCCCCAGCACCAACTCCCTGGGCTCCCTGGGCTCCCTTGCCCCCTCATCCGGCACTGCCATCCTGTCTCCCTCTTGCTCGCCCTCCTCACCCCTTCTCACTCCTGGCCAACCAGCAAGGCCCACCTTCTCTGCCCACCCCAGGCCTTGCATCTGTACCCTCAGCCTCTAGGGCAGAGCCCGGTGTGGGGTAGCACCAAGGGCTGATCTGTCGACTGCTGCCAGACTCAGCCCCTCCTCTCCAATGGCTCACACTCCCACCCTCTGGGGGCCTCGGTGGCGACAGCCTGGAGGGTGGGTTCAGTCAGGCACAACAACCACACCTCACATCCTTCATACCCACATGGGGAGCATCCTGAAGGCAGGGGCAGGGGCCTCCCTCACCTTCTGCACAGGGCTGGGCATCCAGAGAGAAGCAGCATGTGGGCCTGCCCAGGAGGCAGGTCTCTGGGCTCCAGAAACAGGCAGATGGCTTGGGTCCCACTCTCTCCTCCCCACACCTCTGCCTCTCGAGTCTGCCTAAGCAGGTGCCCTTAAGTGCCATCTCCACCCGCTGTGGAACTATGCACGGGAGGGGAGAGGCGGCGCTGACTTCTCTGGGGTCCCTGAGGATGGTTTCCCCCATCTGGCTGGGTGGAGAGCAATTGAAAGTGCGGGGATTGCCTCCGGCTCCCCAGGCTCCAGGCCCCATCCTGACACCCAAGTGCATCCCCTTCCTGCCCCGTGTAGGGGCCATGCCGCCCACTCAGAGGGCACCCTCCCAGGCCTCTACCCCACCTCTCCAGCTTCGCCCCTTAGACTGCCTTTGGCCCTGGTCCATCTCGCTGGCCCCCCAAACCCCCACCCACCCCGCCCCAGCCTGCCCTGTGAGGCTTCAGGAGGCTCCGGGTCCACCTGCCCAGAAAGCAGGTGAGGAGCAGGTGGAGAAGCAGTCCAGCGCAGGTGGATCAGTCCCAAGTGAGAAAGCTGGGCCTGGGGTGAGGGGAGCCCCAAAGCCGAGGTTGGGGGGCAGGAAGACATCGCCCCACCCTGCCTCCTCCCCCACCGCAGGTACCAGGCTCAGAAACCGCGGAAAGGGGAACTTGGTCTTTTCTTGTTTTGCTCTCAACCCCTTCCTGTCTCCAAGCTCAGGGCAGCTGCTCGGCTCACCCCACCCTGCCCCCACCCCCACCCCCACCCCGACGCCCGTTCTGGCGCGAGCCAGGCCCCCGGCTCCCCCACCTCCATCTTGGCTGCGGTGGTCCCTCACCCCGGCCTGTGCACAGCGCCCCGGGACACGCAGACGGACCCTCCCACGCACAACCCCCCCGGGCGAGTCTCCTGCACGCGCGGCGCGGACGGTTCTGTCCCCTGTCCCAGCGGCGCGCTGACAGCCCGTCCGCCCCCACGGCCGGCTTCCGCCGAGCTCACGCCTGCCCCACAGGTGGCCCAGGGCAGCGATGCCCGGTCCCTTGCCCCGGGGACCCAGGCTTACCTGCTGCTGAGAGATGGGTGACCCCCCAAATGGAGGAGGGAGAGGAGGAGGAGGAGGAGGAGGAGGAGGAAGGAGCCGGCGGAGCCAGAGACAGCCCGCTGAGGATGCTCTTGTCAAGACAATGAATGAGAAGCGGCGTCTGCCCGCCTCCTTAGGGGTGGCAGCGCCCCTTTGGGCGGAGCTCTTAAAGGGGATAGCCCTTCTCCGGGCGGAGGCGCCGCCCCCCCTCCCCCCGCCCCCCAGGCGCGGCCGCCCCTCCCTCCGCCCAGCTCGGCCGCGCCTGCCAACTCCGAACCCAAACAGATGCTGCCGGCCAGTCGCTGACAATCTAATCGGCACTTTTGTAATGTCAAAATGCAAAAATACCCTGTTCCTTCTTCCCTCCTTCAGTCCGCCCCCAGCCCACTCACCATCCTGTCCCTGGCATTCACAGGAGCGCCCATCGGGCCCCCACGCCCACCCCCAGCTAAGGCTGAGCTGCCTTCCGCCTCCCACCCCCAGACCGGGGACAGAGAGCCGAGCCCTGGGGTCTCGTCCAGGCTCCTACATTTACAAACGATGGCCTTGAGAGAGTCACTTCTCCTCTCCCATCTCATGTCTTCATCCAAGAGCACTTTCGACCCCGCCTGCCTCACAGGGAACCAATGAATTACTCTGGCATCACAGGGGCGGCGGAGGTCAATGAGTCAGGGTCGGGTACCTGTCCGCAGAGAGCTCTCAGCCTCCTGGAGGAAGAAGAGCACAAGGATGGCTCCAAGGATGCTAAAACAGAGGAGGAAGCCAGACTCCATACTCAAGAGGAAGGAGGACGCCATGGTCATCCTTGGATTCGCAGAAGGCGTCATGGGGACCGCAATGCACAGGGTAAGAGAGGTGGACTCCAGAATCAGATTGCTTTCCAAGTTTGGCTCCTGGCTGTCACACTACCGAGTGACCCTGGGCAGGCTACTTAACCTCCCTCAGCCTCAGTTTCTCCCTCTGTACGAGTCATGCCTAGCTCAAGAGGTTATGGGGAAAGCAAAGCTTTATGTACCTCATTTGGAGTGTAGCAAGTGCTTAATAAATGTTGGCTCTCCCCATTGTTACAATTTTTTTTAAGATTTTATTTATTTATTTCACAGAGAGAGACATAGCGAGAGAGGGAACACAAGCAGGGGCAGTGGGAGAGGGAGAAGCAGGCTTCCTGAGGAGCAGGGAGCCCAATGGGGGGCTCGATCCCAGGACACTGGGATCATGACATGAGCCGAAGGCAGACGCTTAACGACTGAGCCACCCAGGCGCCACCCCCCCCCCATTATTACTATTTACCAGGTATTGTGGCTGGACCTGAGAAGATGAGAGAGGGCCAACGGGCATCACTGGTGGAGGCCCTGTGGGCTGAGGGGCAGCTGAGCAAAGGCCCAATAATGTGATTCTTCAAGGGACTGGTTCACATCCCACCGCCACCATTGACTGGCTGCATGCTCTTGGCCATGAAGTCTAACCTCTCTGAACCTCAGTTTCTTCATCTGTAAATGGGGGATAAATATGATCTCTCCTGCCCTCTCTGCAAAGTGATAAGGCTCAAATGAGACAACGCATGTAAAAGTGTTCCACACGATTCAATCACAGGAGCCTGCGGGTGGTGGTGTTCCTGATGGCCTGCCGCTGGACCAGAACAGACTGGACTGGGATGTATAGGCTCCACTGGAAGTGATAAGAATAACAGGCGGCATTTACTGTGCATCTACTCCGTGTGGGGACTGTCTCGGCGCTGTGAATATGCCTCGCTCCTTTAATCCGCACAACTCCTCTAGGGGGCAGATACCCCCTCCATTTTACAGAGGAAACAGGCTCACACTGCCTTCCATCCTGGAGCGCCTCCTTTCCCAGCAGAGGACCAGTGCGTTGGCGAGACACCTGAAAACCTTGGCCCAGAAGCAAAAGCCTGACAGGCATGCAGAGGGACAAGCTGGGAAGCGCAGTCGCTGCTTTCACATCCCAGCGGGTCTGCAGTGTGGGGTGGGGCGGGCAGGTTTGGGGCCGCCGCAGAGGACTGTGGGAGGCCAGTGATGGAAGTTATGTTTTGGCTTCTCCGGAAGCAGATGTCCATAGAACACAAGACTGAGCGTCCAATGGGTGGTGAAGGTACTGCATGAGCCTCCTCTTGTATCTAAGAAGGGGCTGACTGCTCCCAATGAGGGGCGTTGGGATAGTGTACCTGTTGGGTGCTGCTGGCCCAGCATCTTACCAAACCCTCTCTCCTGGTGGCCGCATCTGGATTTTCCTTTGGGGATCAACCTTTCCTCACTGGCAGTCCCTGAAGTTCAAGAGGGGATCCAAGGTGAGCACAGGGCCACAGTTCCTCAGTCAAAGCAATCTTTTTTGCTTGGTTCAGGGATGGGCACTTGGTTCAAGGCTATGTAATCAGAAGCAGATTCGTTGGAGCTGCTAGGAAAAAAGAGCCCTCTTTCCCCTGGGGGTTAGTAAGCTGATAGACTATAAGGTCAGCACTAGCAGTGACTATCTTGTCACCATATAGGAAAAGTTGGCCAGAATCAGCCCACACAGACAACTGCAGAAGTGAGATATGAAGACTGACATATTCTTGACATCATTTGAGTATCTGGATCAAGCTGTGCCTGAACCCCTTAGCCTTTCTGTCACATAAGACATAGGTTCCTTCTTCCACATAGGCCAGTAAGTTTGAGTTGGATTTCTGGCACTTACAACTGAAAGAGTCCTGATGGGTACATCCGCTATGGAGAGAGACAGGACCACCCTCAAGAGGCTGTGGAGCATGATGGAGTCAGACAGACCCGGAGAACTGCAGCTTCACCATGTCCTACTGCCTGGGCAGAGGGATATTCCCTCACCTGTAAACCATGCACAATATTGGTCACTTTCTAGAATGCATACCCACCCCCCAGCTTCAAAAATTATCAACACGTGGCCATTGTTGATTCATTTCTTCTTCCACATTATTTTCTTGGCATCTATTAAAACAAATCCTAGACATCATAGCATTTCAACTGAAAAACTTCAGTATGCCCCTCTAACAGACAAAGACTTCTTTAAAACCTTTTAGAATTTTTAATAAAATTGAATTAACTTTATAGATTAATTTAGGAATGATATTAAGACTCCCATCCATGTGTGTAGTTTATTGGTCCACGTATTTATGTCTTTTGTTATGTTCTTTAATATAATCTTATAATTTTCTCTGTAAAGGTCTTATATATCATTAGATTTTCCCCCATAGGCATATTATGGTTTTGTGGCCATTTTGAAGGGATTCTTCTTATTCTAGTTGTAACCTTGTTTCATTTCCTTCTAAAATCACCTTTATTTACAATAAAATACATCTTTCTTCCCATACAATAAACCACACTCTTTTTAAGTGCATGGTTCCATTAGTTTTGACAAATGTATATACCCAACTAATAAGCACCATAATCAAGATATGAAATATTTCCATCTCCCCTAAAAGTTCCCTTATGCCCATCTATAACCGATCCTTATCCTTAGCCCCAGGAAACCACTGATCCGCTTTTTGTCAGTATAGAATTTTCCGTACAAATGAAAGCATACAGTATAGGTCTGTTTTTTTTCCACTAAGCATGTTTTGAGTTCACAATACCCTTATGTAATACATAATTACACCTAAAAAAAGTTAGCAATAATTTATGTTCTCCTTTACATGATTGCCTAAAAAAAAAGGGCTCAGCCATCAATCTTAACATCACTAAAAGTAGGACAACCAGATATTATGTATCTCCTATAAAATGATGCAATAAGCACGTAGTAGCACCTTTGTAGGATTCTTACCAAAATCATCATTACAATGATCACCAGAATCTTGAATCTAATCAAGCCTCTAGCTCTATTAGTTTGTATGAAACAAGGGGGATAGAAGAACAGGTTAAATAACACCATGAGGAAGCAACTGCATAAATCTAGACTATGAAAATGTGTGAATCTAGAAATGTGTGAAAATTTTATAGGACAAATTACGCAGTTTCAATAAATAAATGTCATTAAAAGAAAAAGAGGGAAAACAGTAAGAGTCTTTAAATATATCAATCAGGGCACCTGGGTGGCTCAGGCAGTTGAGCATCTGCCTTCAGCTCAGGTCATGATTCCAGGGTCCTAGGATGGAGCCCCTCACTGGGCTCCCTGCTCAGCAGGGAGCCCACTTCTCCCTCTCCCTCTGCTGCTGCCCCTGCTTATTCTCTCTTTCCCTCCCTCTCTCTCTCTCTGCCAAATAAATAAAATAAAATAAAATCTTTAAAAAATCAATCAACTGTCATATTTGGGCTTTCTTTGGATCCTGATTCAAACAAATCAACTGTAAAAGGAGATTTTTAAAATTAGCTTCTGTTACTTTACAACCAAGAGTCTTTTTTTTTTAAAGATTTTATTTATTTATTTGCCAGAGAGAGAGAGCACAAGCAGGGGGGAGAGGCAGAGGAAGAGAGAGAAGCAGACTCCCTGCTGAGCAAGGAGCCCAATGTGGGAGTCTATCCCAGGACGCTTAACTGAATGAGCCACCCAGGCTCAGGTCCCTACAACCAAGAGTCCTGACTGTTCCAGGCACACTAGGTCCCTGGTGCAGCACTAACATTCCACCCCTGGGGTCTCAGGAGCCCTGTGAGCTATTTTACTGTCCCTCTTCTCTCGATGATGAAATTGAGGCTCGGAGAAGATAAATGACCTGCCCAAGGTCACACAAACTGGGATTCAAATACAAAGCTGCCTGACTCTGGAACCCAGGAGTCCATTCAAACTGGAGTGCAGTCGGGATGGCAAGCTAGGGACAAAGCATGGTGGACACTCCACAGGTGGTGGAATGGATGAATGATGTCACATTAAAACTGGGTCTTGAATAAAAGTTTGCCAAGCAGAGAAGGTGGGGGAGAGGAGGGAAAGCAATTCCAGTAAAGGCAAGGAAGAGACAAGGACATTTTAGGGAATGGTGAGCTCTTTGCCACGGCTAGAGCCTCCAGTGCCTGGGGTGAAGCAGAAGGTGGTAGAGCTGGGAGGATTAGCAAGAGGCAGATCTCTTCTCAAGGAGTTTGTTCCTAAGACAAGGAGAAGCGCACACAAGTCTCTAAGCAAAGCAGTGACGGGGTCTCGTGTGTTGGGGTCCCTCTGATAGCCTGGTCCCTTGCTCCTGTGGCCCCCAGGCCTCCTCGCAGCTGGTCCTCCAGCTGCCTGAAGGCTCAGCCCTCACCCACATTCGAGAACCAATCCTGGCAGGAGACATATAAGGATGTTGTTTCCATGGCTCAGGCCTCAAGCCAACCTTGCCAGACACTTCTGGCTGGCCGTCTGCTCAGGCTGCCTTCCTCACATTTGTGAGATGATCATCACTCCTATTTTATGGAGAAAAGAGGTGAGAACTCTTTCAGCCCCTCCGCTCCCACCAGCAACAGCACCTCTGGTCCCTGTAAATAGCCACAGACTGTAATCACGGAGATGTCCTACTGGGGCCTAGGCTGACTCCTCCTTCTCGGGACACATTGTATGTCCCCAGTGACCTCACTCTGTCCCTCACCTCCTTTCCCCTGCACTGCCAAGTTCTACTCTCCACAGACCCTCTCTCTTGGATGTGTACAAACAAGGTTAAGTGCCCTGTGCCTTTGGGGGAACCTCTCTCAACTTGGCAGCCTCAAACCACTTCCCTAGCTCACTCTTCACCTTCCCTAGGTCCTTCACCATCAAGTGTCATGAAAAAGCTGTTTACACTCACTGCCCTCACTTCCTCATCTCCTACTTACTCCTCCACCTACCTGAGTCTGGCTCTGGTTCCCACCATCAGACAGACTTGCCCTCACCAAGGCCACCGATAACCTCCTAATCATGAAATCAAATGTTTCAGGGGTCATCTGATGCCCCTGACTACCCCTCCCTCTGAAATCTTCCCTTGGGGTCCCTCTCCTGCTTCTCTGCTTTGCTCTGCAGCTTTCTCTCTCCAACCCCTGCAGAGCTGTTCCCTTTGCTTAGCTTGCAAGGTGCTCCCAGGACTCCCCTTTTTCTCCTGGCTCCCAACTCCCTCCCAATATCTCATCCATAGCTATAGCTTCAACTACAAACGTGGACAATCCCCCATCTGTCTCTGTGGCCCAAGCCTGCTGCCTCTGCTCCCTAGTGCTGACTGCCAACTGGAGGGCTCAACCTGCATATCAGGGAGGGCCTCCCAGAGGAAGAAGTCTTGACCTTGAATCTCTCCCTTTCAACTCTGTGCCCAGACCCCTGCCTGAGTTGAGTTGTGTTGCTTGGACCATTGCACTAGTTCTCTCACTAGTGACCATCCTCAGCTTCCTCTTTAAGGACATTTACGCCCTTCCTGATCATAATATGCCTACCCTACAAAACCCTACCAGCTCCTCAAGCAAAAAAAGCTGAAACACCCACCCCCCACCCAGCATGGTGTGCAAAGCCCTTCCTGATCTTCCCCGCCTGGCCTTGTTATTCATCACCCAAACTCAATATGCTCCCTCACTCCTCTGGTCCAGAGGCTGGACCCTCAGATGTCTACAAGGGGAAGAGAGGAGGTGGCTGGTTCAATTACCTGTTGCAGAGTAAACTACTCCAAAACTTTGCGACTTAATGCTATTAGTGTTAAGTGTGTGTTGAGTGTTAGACTCTCTCATTATTCTAGGATTTTGAGAGGGAGCTTGCCAAGAGAGAGCGCTCCAAGATGGTAAGCCAGGTGATGCACAAGGGTCCTTCTACTACATTCTACTGGTTAAGCAGTCACATGACCAACCCAGATTCCAGGGGAAGAGAAATTGACTCCTTTTGATGCGGAGAGTTAGAGTTTGCAGCCATCCTAATGGGATGCAGAGGACTGGGCAGGTAATATGAATAGTTGATGTGGGCCAGGCGAATTACAAGAGGGCATGGAGGGGCTGTGGCTACACTTGCCCTCTGTCACCACTCAGGAATGGGGTCCCTGGGAAGCTAAACCTGATTTTTCAGGACAAGTTAGAAATACGGATTTTTATATGAAAGCTCCAGATCTTTCAATGTTGGCAGCTAATTCAAAAATGTCTAAAAATGTTATATGAGCAAAACTAAATATGTCTTTGGTTTGGATGTGGTTTTTCTGGCCAACAATTTTTTGGACTCTCTTCTTTGCCCTTGGCATAGGCCTGAAATCTCTTATTTGTGTTACCAAAGCTCTTTTGTATCTTACTTATCCTTTAAGACTCAGGTCAAGACTCCCTTCTCTGTGAAGCCTTCCCTTACACCCCCTCCCTGCCCAGCCACTCCTAGAGTGGTTTCTTTTCTCCCCTGTGCTAGTGACCCATGGTGCATTCCTCTATCATGGTAATTCATATATTGGATAACAATTGTTTATAGGTCCAACGCTTCCACCAGACTGAGTTTTATTTCCCCAGCACAGGGCCCAACATTCAATAAACAAAAATCCTTCTTTCTTTCCCAACACTGCTAATCAACCACGAACTCACATACACTCTACCTTCACCATTGTCTTTCCTGGCCAGTCCATCCTCCATCCGACTGCCATCACCCCAGTTCAACCCCTCCTCGCTTCTGGCCAGAATGATTCCAAGGGCCTGCTAGCAAGTCTCCCCAATTCCAGTCTCTTCCACTGACCCCAATCCTTGTCCCTTAGCCAGACTCCTCCTCCCTAATGCACAGATCTGACCATGTCAACCCCCATTTCAAGATTCCTTCTTTATTCTTCAGAATAGAATCCACTCCAGGGACTGGATTAGTTGATCTAGGTTTTGTGCTTGTCCATTATAACTGGTCCAGGAGTGGAAGTCGCACCAATCAATGTCAGTCTTGGGTCTTTTTCTGGAATCATTTCTGCCACTATGTGAGGAGAGCCTTCCCGAGAACG